GTAGTAGTAGTAGTAGTAATAGTCGTAGTAGTAGTAGTAGTAGTAGTAGTAGTAGTAGTAGTAGTAGTAGTACGAGTAATAATAGTAGTAGTAGTAGTTGTTGTAGTACTTCGTAGTAGTAGTTGCAATTAGGAAGTAGTCGTAGGAGAATAATAGTTATACGCAGTAACAGTCGAAGAAGTAGTAGTAGTAGTAGTAGTAGTAGTAGTAGTAGTAGTAGTAGTAACAATAATTGTCGTAGTCGTAGTCGCACTCGTAAACGTAGCTGTCGTCGTCGTTGTTGCGCGGCGTTTGCCGTGGAAACAAATCATGAGTTACCCCGTATTGGTGCGACCCCAGTCATTCAATACGGCCGCCGAACGAAAATCATCACCCCCTATTCGGGTGGGGGTTCTAAAGACGTATCGCAGTGATTCACATACACTGTTCCTGGCCAGGTCCATCCAGGGCCCAGGATCATTGCATACGCCTCCTCGGCCAAGCCAGGAGGGAGTGTTTGCACATCTCGACGTGTGCGCTGATCCTTTGGCATGGGCCTGGCGGGCACCGGTGTGTGTCTCTGTGTGTGCACGGATCTTCTCTTAGATCGTTTGGCGCACCCGGTCCAGCGTTCTTTGCATCTTTGTGTACTGACCTCCTGGCTGCCGCCCTCCCGGTCATTGTGCACCTTCTCCCGCCCTCCCCTTTTCGTGCAGGTCAATATTCTGGGTCCGCCTTCTCTGGTGTACACTCAAGACGCTGAACTGAGGACCACTTTGGGAGCCAGAAGGGTTCGGGTTTTCGCTCCGCTTCTGAGATCTACAACGTCGGGGGCCGATACCTAGATCTACGTCGGGGAACCTGTTCGTGGCCGAGGCTAGCCGTGGCCACACCGCTGAGGTCCTCCTCCCGTATAGTAACACGATGGCTGTACAGCGCACGCTTCCCCTTCAACTTTGTGTTTACCCTCTGCTCGGCGGCGAGCCCGGGGGGGACGTGAGAAGGGGCGGGCCTTCTCAGAAGGATCAGAAGTCCCCCAGTTTTCGAAACAGTTCTCTAAACCTTCCCCGAAGGTGCAGACAACCTCTCAGAAGGCAGTAGGGTTTTGAGAAGTCCCGCCGCCTTCTGAGCAGGCCTTCTGTTTCTCACACTTCCTCCCTTGGCTCGCCGCCGATAAAACTTCTGCTTACGCTGTGCCCGCCATTCCTTCCTCACGCTTCTTTCTGCTGATGTGTGCGAGGGTGTTGTGCAGCAGCATGCATAAAGACTGTTCTTTCTGGCGCAGTCTTCGCCAGGCGCATTTTTGGTGGCACGGCTATATATTTGTCATGCTTGCTCATGTTTCATTGGCCGTCCTTGCATATTGGCAGGGAGAGGGGGAAGGATGGGAAGGGGGAAGTGGGGAAGATGAGAGCAGCGGGGAGAGGGGTGTGGATGCCTCAAGCGTATTAGCATCATCTGCTGAGTGTCGCTTGCGCCGACATTGAAACGCAAGCGCCCTCGTCTCCATTGTGGCGTGCCGCGCTGGCGGTCCGCGTAAGCCGCCACGAAAGGTCGCTATGTCATCCCGCGTAAGACCCGTTTTTGATCGTCGCTCAGGTATGTACCATACGCTGGTTCGGTATGCCGGCGATGAGATGTAGTCTTTTCCCACACGATGTGTCTTCTTGCAGAACTTTCTGAGCGCACAGCGCCAGAGTGCAAGCTTGCCGTTCGTGTCCTGGTTGCGTCTGCGCGCATCTCGTCGCACGGCTCGCGTTACCAGTATCTCCCGAGCGGGCTTGTATTCATGGGCGATTTCTCGTCGCAGATCCCCAAGATTCCCCCCAAACCTCAGGCAAGAGGGGAGACATCGGGGATAACCCCCGGAAGGGGCTATCTGTGGACGGACCCCCATCGATGGTGAACGCCCCCCATCGCATATCCCCGAGTTGTGACCAATCTTCTGTTTGCCCAGCCGATGAACCCCACAGAAGTCGGCGTTTGGGTTCGCCGAGCCTCTGGGCTGCGGGACAGCGCCCGTGCGAAGCCCGCCCGTCGCCGTTGTCGTCGGAGGAGGGAGGAGGAGGAGGAGGAGGAGGAGGAGGAGGAGGAGGAGGAGGACGAGGGAGGAGGAGGAGGAGGAGGAGGAGGAGGAGGAGGAGGTCCTGAGGGACTCCGATGCCACCATATTCCAGAGTCCAGAGAGTCCAGGAGGAGGAGAAGAAGAGGAGGATGGAGGAGGGGGATAGAGGAGAGGGGGCAGGACGAAGAGGAGGGCGATGGAGAAGAGGGGGGAAGAGGAGGAGGAGGAAGAGGATGGGGATGGAGGAAGAGGCGCAGGAGCAGGAGCAGGAGCGGGGTGCTCTTGGGACTCGCGCTGTAGGTCTGGACTTGAGCAGGAGTGGGGTGCAGAGAAGCGCCATCCCCAAGCTGGCCAAAGGGCAGCTCCCCCCTGGCCTCAGAGCATGGCCCCAGGGGAGCCTCTGAGCTTGTCCGGGTCTCCTCAGTGTGTGAGGATCTGTGCCGCAGGATCGTAGCCGCTCGCGGAGGAGGACGACTAGGAGGAGGGCGACGAGGAGGAGGGCGACGAGGATGAGGAGGAGGAGGAGGAGGAAGAGGAGGAGGAGGAGGAGGACGAGGAGGAGGGGGAGGACGAGGAGGAGGGGGAGGAGGGGGAGGAGGAGGAGGAGGAGGAAGAGGAGGAGGAGGAGGAGGGAGGAGGAGGAGGGCGAGGAGGGCGAGAGGAGGACGAGGACCGGGTGGAGCAGCGGGAGGAGGCCCGCCTGTCCGCAGCAGCCCCGGGGCCCGGAGCGCCCGGCGGGGGGGGCGCCGCCCGACATGCTCGGGCCCGGCGGGCCTGGCGGGCCCGGCGCCGCGGCCGACGGGCGGGGCGAGGGCGACGCCGCGCACGCACGGCAGGCGCGGCTCAGAGGGGGTCACGGTGTTTTGGACGCCCGAAATGGGTACGGAAAGAATGGGTACAATTCTCAACAGCAGTTCCTGTTCATTCTGAACAGGGGCTCGCTGTCGGTGTCGCCGCGGCCCGTGTCCATTCGGGACAGAAGGCCGCCTGCCCAACACCAGCCGCTGTTGGTTTGGGACAACATTTGTTGTTGGGCATTGTGCCCACTCTTTCCGTACCCATTTCGGGCGTCCACAGATGTGGTTGGGCCGAGGTAGGTCGGGAGCGGCCAAGAGGGGGGTGAAGGCTAGGGGGGGGGGATATGCTGGCCAGGGCCATGGCATCGTCCCGGATTTCAGGGCCCTCTGCTTATTTTCATGCGTTCCCTGGCCCCCCCCCCCCCCGGTCCTCGCACATGCCTCGGGCCATGGCTTGCACCCCCCCCCTCTTGGACGTCCCCCTCTTGGACGCCCCCGAGGATGAGATCGAGGTCGGTTCGGGGAGGGTAGCCTAATGTTCTTAGTGCTTGCTGGAAGTTCTGGTGCATCTTGGGGAGGATGCCCTTGGGTGTTCCTCAGTTTGGCCGGCGGAGGGTCTCGCGCTCTAGAAGGATGTCATGATGTTCTAGGTCTGGCCGTAACCGCCAAGGGGGAAACTGCTCCTGAGGTTTTTCGCTGTCTTCGGACCCTCCACGGGCACCGCGGGCGGTCAAAGAGAGAGAGAGAGACTCAGGATGAAGGGCTCGTCCTGGGCGTGGATCCAGGACCTGGTTCCCTCAGGGCCCGTTTCCCCCGTGCGAAGGCTCAGAGGAGCAATGGGTCAAGATAATGAATACGTTCCAGGATTTCCCAGTTTTTCCAGGATTTCCCACATTCCTTGATGTTCCGCACCGGGCTGTGCCGCTAGACCTTCTGGAGGTCCTTGAACGTATCATGAGCCAACCTTATCCTGACATCATTCTCCCTCTAGCGGTGCTCCGCCCAGATCGGGGGCGTCCAAGAGGGGGCATCAGGGGAGGATGGGCTGCAGGTTCGCGTCGCGTCGACCGGCGGCGACCCCGCCGCAGGCGTTCCACGTTGAACGTCGCCTGTGACCCGGAATCGTTCGATGTTGATATTTGACGTTCCGGAAACGGTCGATCGCTCGAAGTTGAACGATCCCCGCGGTGTCAGAAACCGACGCCGAAGTCGGCACGACACGAACTTGCCGTAATTACGGGGAGGCTGGAAGCACACGTGCGGGCCGGGCACAGTTGTGCTGCATGTTCTGGGCCTCCTGCGGCATTTCTTTCGCGCGGGCCGCGCCAAACTAAAGGTAGTGCGCGATTCGGGGGCTACGGCAGGGTCTTTGTTGATTGGTGGTCGGGACATGGGCTTCCTTTGTGTTCTTGTGAAGGCCTTGCGGCCAGTGCCGCCGACCCCGAATGGGGGAGCCCAGGCGCTTGGGAGACGAGAAATCGAAGGGGCAAGCTTCTCCCAGGGAGGGGTGCCCCCCAGGGGGTCACAACACCCGGGCACCCCCCCACATGCGGGGAAGGGATCAAAGGGAAGGGGCTTCCATTCGACTCGATTGCGACATTGCTCTATTTCTCTTTGACTGGGACGGTTGAGGAGGAGGGCCCACAGACGGACATGTGGAAGCAATACCGGCAGCAACGGCGACGACGACGACGATTCAAACGGAGGAGCCTCTCGCACACGCCGACTAGGTCGGCGGATTCTTGTTGCGGACCCACGCGAGCGCGGTTTTCCCTGCTCTGACCGTTCTGCGGTTCCAGCCCTCAGCGTTTCCAGCCTCCCCGTTACAGGCTCAGCGTCAGAGGTTGGAGGTCGTCGGTTGTTTTTTCGCTGGTTTCCCAGCCTCGGGGGGCTCTCCAGCAGGTGCGCCTCGCTGAGAGCGTTCCCGGGGTGCCCGAATCATCTGGGAGGGACTCCCGGGAAAAGATGGGAAAATATGGGAAGTGGGGTGGGACGACGAACACCCAGGAACATCTGGGAAAATACAGGGAAATATAGGAATAGACGGGAAAATATGGAGAACCCTGTGATCTGTGTGTGTAGGTATTTTTGTGTGTCCTCCTCCTCCTCCTCCTCCTCCTCCTCCTCCTCCTCCTCCTCCTCCTCCTCCTCCTCCTCCT